TAATTCCATTCTGTGCAGAATAAACATGTCATCAGTTAAGCCTCCAGTATACTCGGGCATACATCAGTCCACATGTACCGGATTAGAGTCGAAGCGGACAAACGCAGGGCATACCCATGCAAAGCTCAATTCAAACTCAACACGTACGCAGTGTTGCACAAGAAACTGCCCGGCTACAGACTGTTTTGTATGCAACACCAATGTATTAAGAAAACAGATGGCGGAAGTGAGTGAACGCTGGCGCGACTTGCTGCCGCTGCTCGCCGCAAATCAACGATTATTGGCAAAACTGTGTGTGTACATGGTCTAGCTTCCACTTTCCTGCTCTCATCGACCACCTGAATCTTACCTGTCGCTGTTCATCTGTCCAAGCTGCCGACTCTTCTCCTACAATGCCAATTAGCAGGATATACACCTGGGCTGTGCTTCTCTGGACTCTCCTGGCACTCCTTCAACAACCTGTTACGGGTCTGATCCAGTACTCTGCTGCTGAGCTCCTCCGGCTGCGGTTTCATCCATCTGCACTTCCCCCTGCTTCGCTATTCATCTCGGATGCAACTCTCCTACCACACCGGAAATACATCCACCGCGGACTTCGCCGGAACATCCAAGAGGACACGTCGAAATCCATAAAATCCATCTGGTCTACTTCTCGTCGTCACCGGCGTGCCTCCAACCGGGTTGTTGACCGCAGCGTGCTAGCTTACCCGGCCCGGTCAGCTAACGCTCCTGCAATGTCTGATAACTCCTCCGTAAACTTCGGTCTGCTTAACGTCCGCTCACTTACGGGCAAGGGACATCTCATTCAGGATCTCCTCACTGACCGTAAGTTTGATTTTTTATGCCTGACTGAGACTTGGCAACAACCGAATGATTTCTCTCAGCTCAATGATTCTACTCCACCGGGGTTTGTTTACATCTGTCAACCCCGTGGCACCGACCGGGGAGGAGGTCTCGCGATAATTCACCGCGAGAAATGGAAAGTCTCGCCGTTGTCTGCTCCCACCTTCTCCTCTTTTGAATCAGCTGTGTGTCAGCTCTATGGACCTACCCCCACCATCATTGCAACCATCTACCGCCCGCCGAAAACTAACAGTGACTTTCTGGATGACTTCGCTGCTCTTCTCACTCACCTGTCAATTCTCTCACCAAACATTATAGTATTGGGTGATTTTAATATTCACATGGACGATGGAAATAACCCACTGACTAAAGACTTTTCATCCTGCCTCCAGAGTTTTGGTCTTCAGCAGTTTATCAATGTTCCCACTCATTCTAAGGGTCATGTCCTGGATCTAGTCTGCTGTTCTGGTGTATCTCCCTCGGATTATACAGCAGATGAACTCGCCATAACTGACCATTTTCTCCTCTCATTCAATATCTGTCTCCCTCTCTCTATCACCAAGCTTCCTCGTCTCATCTCTTTCCGTAACATTAAGGATATTGATTTAAATTCTCTCTCCTCCGCCATCAATTCTCTCATGGACAATCTATACTCAACTCTAGACTCAACCATCCTTGATGACTTGGTCTCATACTACAATACTGGTCTTCACTCAATACTCAACTCTCTTGCTCCGCTAAAAACCAGATCTGTTTCTTTTGTTCGCTCTGCGCCCTGGTTTACTACAGAACTTCGGCTCATGAAGGCTAAAGGACGGCAACTTGAAAGGCTCCACCGGAAAACTGGACTGGTTGTACATAAAGACATTTACAAAACTCACATATTGCATTACAAGGACTGTATCAATCAAGCCAAATCCTCCTACTACACTTGTTTAATTGGTTCAAATGAAGGCTCCACCAAGTCAATATTCTCCCTCTACAAGAACATCACCCAAGCCCCGGACTCCCTACCTTCACATCTGTGTTCAACTGAATTTTGTAACTCCCTCATGTCATTTTTTGACAGTAAAATTGTTAAGATCCATCAGTATCTCAGCTCACAATCGACCCCTTGTCCTACTCGTGAACTTTCTCCTCCAGCCCACTCCTTCTCTTCCTTCGAACTCCCGACAACTTCAGAAATCATAAGCCTCATCAACAAGTCCAAGTTGTCCACCTGTTTGCTTGACCCTCTTCCAACAGTTCTGGTTAAAGCCTGTGCCCCATCTATACTCCCTCTCATTTCTGCCATTATTCACTCCTCTCTCTCCACCGGAACAGTTCCTGCATCATTTAAAATTGCTGCCATAACCCCTATCCTGAAAAAACCTGGCGCTGATTACCGTAATCACAATAATTTCCGTCCTATCTCCAACTTGCCTTTCATCTCCAAGATTCTTGAAAAGACAGTTGCATCTCAACTCCATACTTACTTATCCAACAATAACCTGTATGAACTATTTCAGTCTGGTTTTCGTCCCCTCCATAGTACAGAAACAGCTCTTATAAAAATCACCAATGACCTCCTCTTGGCAGCTGACTCCGGCTTGCTGTCCATCCTCATCCTCCTCGACCTGAGTGCAGCGTTTGACATCATTTGCCATGCCACCCTACTCAATAGACTTTCCTCTATCAGTATCACTCAGACTCCTCTAAACTGGTTTAAATCATATCTCTCCAGCCGCAATCAGTTCATCCGGATCAAAACCTTCACTTCCGAGCCTTCATCTGTCACATCAGGAGTTCCCCAGGGCTCTGTCCTGGGACCCCTCCTCTTCATTATTTATCTTCTTCCCCTCGGCACTATTTTCCACAAGCACAATATCGATTTCCACTGTTATGCGGATGACACCCAGCTCTATGTTTCCAGTAAGCCCGCCTCCAACCTCCCGCCATCCTCGCTTACCGACTGCTTGACTGAAATAAAATCCTGGTTCACCTCAAATTTTCTTAAACTCAACAGTGACAAAACAGAGGTTCTTCTCATTGGTACAAAATCCACCCTGGCTAAAACCAAAAATTTCAGTATTGACATTGATAACCGTTCCATTTCTCCCTCCCCTCAGGTAAAGAGTCTAGGTGTCATCCTCGACAGCACTCTTTATTTCCAGTCTCATATCAACAACACCATCCGTTCGGCTTATTTTCACCTAAGCAACATCAACCGCCTCCGCCCCTCCCTTACTCCCCATTCCACTGCCATCCTTGTTCACTGTCTGGTTACATCGCGCCTGGACTATTGCAACTCCCTTCTGTTCGGTCTCACCCACAAATCTTTTCATAAGCTCCAACTGGTCCAGAACTCAGCTGCCCGCATCATCACCAAAACCCCATCCATTCATCACATCACTCCAGTCCTGCAAAAACTCCACTGGCTGCCAACCAAGTTCCGCATAGACTACAAAATTCTCCTGTTCACTTTCAAGGCCCTCTACAATCTCTCCCCACCATATCTTTCAAATCTTATTCATATTGCCATTCCCTCTCGCTCCCTCAGATCATCCTCCTCCATCCTTTTGACTGTCCCCTCCGCCCGTCTCACCACCATGGGGAGCAGAGCCTTCAGTCGCTCTGCTCCCCGACTTTGGAACTCGTTACCACCTCACATTAGAAACATAAAGTCAATCTCACAATACAAATCAGAACTCAAAACACACCTTTTTAGATCTGCTTTTTCCACCTGACACAATTGGTTTTGCCTGATTTTATATTGATTTTATACATTGTCTTTTTTTCTTCCTTTCTTTTTCTTTTCTTTTCTTTTCTTTTCATCTCTTAGTTTCTGTTACTGCTGATTTTATTCTTTGTACGGTGTCCTTGAGTGCCAGAAAGGCGCCTTTGAAATAAAATGTATTATTATTTGTATTATTAAATTCTCCTTCTTCATCCCTGATCTGGTTAAATGGCCTTTTCTTTTGTTGTTTTGCCAAGAAGCAAGCAATCTCTTCCTCCTCCTCCGTTGACGCCATGACTAAAATGGTGAGAAATGAAGGAATTTGTCACAAGCAAATTAAAATCAGGTCCAGCGTGGCTGCGGGAGGGTCTGGAGATTTCCTGGTGGGCTGGTCTGATGTGTGGCTGCAGGGCCAGCGCTCCCTGTTTTTTGTTTGTTTTTATTAACAACATATAAACACAGCTGCGGCTGCCAGCTCGTTTTTTTTTTTTGTTTGGTTGGGGGTTTTTTTTTTTTTTTTTGGGGGGGGGGGGGGGGGTTTGCGATCTGCCAATCAATCCAGTAGGCAAATCGGCAAACTCAATTTGTTCCGAAGGTAAACGCCCCTTGCCTGTGGAGCTGGTCTGCAGCGGCTCAGGGTGGACACTCGAGTATTAAGTCTCAACCCTCTGCGGACAGTGCGCGTTGAGTCCACGCAAAAAAAAGGTCAGCACGAGTGTATTGGAGCCTTTAGACTGACCTGGAATTCCTGAGCTGTCTTCCTTCACACAAAGCAGAGATGTATTCGAGGTTCGGGTGGTGTAATGCAGACCGGCTAACAATGAAATTGTGCTTGAGAATCTTGTCTGTGAACAGACTTCTCAGTTTTATTTGATCATCTTTAGTTTATCTAGATGAAATATAGACAGACAGGCAGGCAGGCGGAGACAGAAAGACTGGCAGACAGACATACAACATACAGTAGGGATACAGAGAGACAGGTGGATTCATTCAACCTTTATTTAGACAGGTAAATCCCATTGAGCCTCGAGGACTCATTTACAAGAGAGACCTGATTTAACAAAGAATGATGGCAACAAGATAGGGATAGGGAGATAAACAGAAACAGTCAGATGGACAGAAAGCCAGGAAAGAAGACGGAGCCAGACAGAAATACAAACAGAAAGAATATCCAGACAGTATGACAGACAGACAGAATAACGTAGAGACAGCTGGGCACTCAAAGCAACAGTGAGACAGGCAGGATCTGGACCTGTAACTGGCCGTAAAACTTCATTGTTGTTGTACGAACTACCTGCTTTGTTCTTGGGAGCCGACGTGACTCTGATGCGGCTGGACCTGTCCCTGAACGCAGCACAATGACCAAAAACCCTGCAAAATCCAACCTATCCTCTGCCACGAACACCGAAGTACCACAACAAAATTTAAACAACTTCCTCACCTGATTGAGCTCATTTTCTGCCGCTATCCTCAGATTGGGGTCGATGGTCCCTTTCAGCGCCTGTATTATCCGGTTGGGATCCATATTTATAGTTTTACTCACACATACGTGTAACGTAAACTAACACTTTTTGCACAAATATTTTCACCCGACCGAACGTCTATTGTGTTTTTGTAATCAGGAACCAGGGACCGAAGAACAAAAACACTTCCGGGAGTCAAAAAAACTACTTCCGGTCAATTTTTTTTAACCTAATTGATTATTTAGTGACGTAGCAAAGAAGTAAAGACGCTTAATTTAATTTCTGTCCAACTAATATGACATATAATTGTCCTTGTTTCTTATAGTAATGTGTTGTTAGCTAGCGAAACAAAAGTTCTCGTCTTTCCTCGCACCATAAATTAGAACTCTGCCACCGCCCTGAGGTTTGGAGATGTTACTGCATCACAATCTTTGTTTTTGTGTGTTGTGCTGTGTGTTATGTCGAGAAACGCATTCCTGCCGAGCTCTAAACTCTCGGAAGAAGGTGTTTTTTGGCAGATTAATTTAAATAAAAATGGCCCATTGTTTTAGTTATCGGTAGTTCTAAAAACTCATAAATAATACAAACAATTGTCTAAATCTTCTGCAAAAAATAAATAAATAACATAAAATAAATAAAAATACTGCAAGCTTTTTCTCATCATGCAGCTGCAAGTCAATTATATTACAGCATGCTAGCACAGAGGGCCTGTATCAGTGGTGGGATGTAACTAGTACAAGTTCTTTGTTAATGTACTTAAGTAAATTATACAGATACATGAAAAACATACTTAAAAGATACATAGTAACATAGATATAGACACATAGATACATAGACACAAAAACATAGTTAAAATATCTTGATCCTAAAAAATCTGCAGGTCCTGATGAACTTCCACCTTATTTCTTAAGGCTGGCTGCTCATATCATCACAGTCCCTGTGACCCACATCTTTAATCTCTCCATAAACCAAAACTCCATTCCAGATGCTTGGAAAACAGCCTTTGTCCTTCCTTTGCTGAAGGGAGGTGACCCTACCTCACTGAACAACTATCGGCCAATCTCAAACTCTGCATTTTAGCCAAGGTTCTAGAAAAACTGATAAACTCTCAAATCAAAACTTACCTGGACTCATTTAACATCTTACCTCCACATCAATCTGGTTTCAGGAAGCAACACACCACAACAACTGCTTCACTGAAGGTTCTTAATAACATCGTTGAAGCGCTGGATGCTAAGGATTATTGTGCTGCACTTTTCTTAGACCTGTCTAAAGCTTTTGACACTGTGGATCATAACATCTTGTGTCATAAGCTCTCAGAAATTGGTTTCCCAGAACACACCATTGGTTGGTTCTCTAACTATCTCTCAGACCGGAGGCAATGTGTTCAACATAATGGTACTTCCTCCAGTTATTTAACAGTCAACAATGGTGTACCACAAGGCTCAGTCTTAGAACCCACCCTCTTTACAATCTACATAGGTAATGTAGGTCAAAGCATCCCTGATGCATCCATACATTTCTATGCTGATGACACAGTTGTTTATTGTTGAGCTAAAACAGTTGCTAAGGCTTTACAGCTTTTGCAATCTGCATTTGACATCATCCAGTCTGATTTGTTCCGCCTGTCCTAAATGCCGAAAAACCCAAAAGGATGCTTTTTTCAAACAGGAAGTCGGCCCCAGCAGTTCTTCCTCCGATTTTATCTTCAAATGGTGTCCCCATTGAATTTGTTGAGTCCTATAAATATTTGAGTATCTTGGTCAACCCGCATCTCTCTTTTAAGCGCCATATGGAAAACCTAGTAAAGAAACTGAAAGTTAAACTGGGTTTCTTTTTCAGAAACAGATCCTGTCTAACTTTGAATGATAGGAAACGGCTTGTAACAGTGACTTTCCTTCCCTCCATTGATTATGGTGCCATTATTTACATGAACGCTCCTACAAGCACCCTGCAGATGTTGGATGCTGTCTATCATGGTGCACTAAGATTCATAACTGGCTGTGATTATCGTACCCACCACTGCACCCAGTATTCACTGGTTAACTGGACATCATTAACTTCACACAGACTCTCTCACTGGTACATTTTCATCTTTAAATCACTTCTTGGTCTGCTGCCTTCATACATCTCCTCCTACATGTCTCTGTGTGAGTGCAGCTACAGCGTGCGCTCTCAGGACATTATTACCTGCAGTGTTCCCTCAGTGAAGACTGAACTAGGCAAAAGGGCCTTCTCCTACTCCGCTTCTGTTTCCTGGAATATCTTACAAAAAGATTTGAAGCTCTCGACCTTGACCTCTCTAAGTGGCTTTAAGAATCTGTTGGACTCCTGGCAGGGACCAATGCAGACATGTTCCTGTTTTTAGTTTTCTACATTCACCTTAGAATCTAGCTGTTTTTTTTTTATGTTACCTTTTTCTTTTAGCCATCCTATTTGTAAAAAAAAAAAAAAACTGCAGTATGACTTTTTATCATTGTTTATTGTTGTTGCAGTTGTCCATTTGTTGTCATCTTTCTTTGTTGAAATCAGGTCTCTCTTGTAAATGAGTCCTCGAGGCTCAATGGGATTACCTGTCTAAATAAAGGTTGAATGAAAGAAAAACATACTTAAGTAGAGTTAAACGTGGGTACTTTTAACTTTTACTCCACTACAATTTACATTAAGTATCTGTACTTTCTACTACACTGCATTTCTATAATGCGTTGCATTACACGTTACATTCATGTTGCGTTTTTTTAATTTGTTCGTTAGTTTGAAAGTAATCTGTGGTGAGAGGGGAGTTGGTCCATTGAATCACTGCAAAGTGGGCAGATAACGTTAGACCTGCCTTCAAAAAGAGCTGGACCAATGACATATATTCTAGTATGTCACTGAGCTGGACGCACCCAGTGCTGCCAGGTGTACGATAATTATCGTATTTGTACGACAATTTTGCCCTCTGTACGATGTATGATCAATAATCCCCAAAAAAGACCAAATATACGATAATTTGTCCATTCCGTGAATGTGTGGTTGTAATCGGTTGTCATCAGCCTGTTGCAAATGTCTGTCTGAGTTTTTTTGCGAACCCTGAAGGCATCTGTGTCCGCAAACAGATGCTGGATATTCCAGCCAATCGTGCTTTTTCTAAATGTGACCTACGAGTGACGTGTTTGTGTTTGCCTCAGAACAACGGCCATGATTGAATGAATAGTCTGCTTCGCCCGCCCCATGAGTGAGAAAAAGAAAAAAAAAATAATAAGAAGAGCCGGTCTGGAAGCGGACCCATCACTACTACATTGCATCAATAGATTTGTTATTTTGGTTATGACGGGTGTACGATAATTTCCCTCAAAATACGATAATTTTATGTCTCTAGTACGATAATCCTACATTTCTCACCTGGCAACACTGGGCGCACCCGCAGCACCGCTAACACACCCAAAATGGATACCACTGTGGAGAGTCAGCAGAAGATACACGCACCCATGACCTTATTGAAAGACTGTTCAGTACAGCAGGACAGATGCTCTCTCCCAGAAGAGCTAGACTGGAGTAAAAAACTAAAAAACTTTGACAATTAACTTCTTCTGAACTTGAACAAGAAATTCTTGCTGCAGTATTAAAATGTGTCAGTTCATGGAATGTTAGGACAGCAGACAAGAGATGTCTCCAAATAGCTCGACACTCAAGTCCAAGTTTTGAAAATGGTGTCAGGAAGTTAAAATATTGTTCACTATTGACCCTTTAAAAGGCTGAATAGACAGTATTTTAACTATAGTTGATGCCAACCTGGAGTTGAAAGTGGAAATGATCAGTGCCTATTCCTTTGTTAGGTGTGTGTATGCCCCTTTTTTCAGGCAGACAACTTTTTAGGCCCGAGCAGCGAAGTGCTGCGAAAACCTATTGTAATCGCTCTGTTCAAGCCCGAGCTGCAATGTTTTTTCGCCGAATGAATTGGAGTTTTGGGGGCCTTAACATATACCCAAACTAACCAAATTTGGCGGATGCATCAGGACTGGTGAAAATGTACATGTTTTAAGGGTGTGGCAAAAATCGCAACAGAAACGGCTCAAGAGCGCCACCTAGAAATTTTCTAAATAACCTTTGCATTAACCTTAGTTTGTCGTAGAAGCATGAAATTTGGTACACTTGTCCAATTCCCCAAGGTGCACAAAAAACCCTCGACACCAAGGTTGTACGATAAACAGGAAGGCGGCCATTTTGGAATGTCCGCCCATTTTTCACACCTTTTTGGCAGTTTACAGCCTCCGCATTTTGACGAACTCCTCCTAGGGATTTCGCTCAATCGGTTTCAAACTTGGGCATTTTGGTCAAAAGGAGAGGAGGACAAAAAGTTATCAAAACCATGCGTTTTCGATCATGCTGAAGGGGCGGGCCAGACCTCAAAATTTGACATCTCACCATGAAAAACGAAACGCCAATAGCTCCTACACGAAAACTGTCTGAGACATCAAACGTTCAGTGATTGATCCACATCCAGTCACCTGCAAGACTGAAAGGGAAAATCGTGACAACACTTAAGCCGCACCCCCTGACAACAGGAAGTGTAAAGTTTTACCATAAACGCTCCCTATCTGACCCTTGTCACCTGATCAGCGTGATTGTGTGTCCAGTGACTGAAGACATGTTGGTGTAACTTTCTTTCCAAATCTGACAATTTTGAGTGGCGCATGTGAGTGGCGTGGCGTGGCGAAACAAGACGTAACGCCGTCGCAATACGGTTGGCTCTAAATTCCACAAATTTGAACAGAGTTGCACCAAAATCAGTATAATCAATCATTATCTACCCCTTGAACAGGAAGCCATGATAATTGCCCAAAAGCCTCCACAGCGCCCCCTAGAATATTTTAAAACCTCAGTACCAAGCCATTTTTGGACCGATAATTCTGAAACTCGGTGAACATCTGTATCGTATCAGGACCTATGAAAAAGTCTCTTGGTGCCCTGGTCCAAAACCAACAGGAAGTCAGCCAATTTGGGTCAAAGGGTCATTTTTGGGCATTTCTAATTATCCTGATGCATGCTCAATAATCCAGGTAGAAAAATCCAAAAAAGTTAAATCTGGTCCTCTGGACATTAAAAAAAAAAAAAAAAAAAAAAAAAAAAAATGTAGAAAAGTTTTGTATCTCATCCGAGAGACTTCCTCAGTCTGAGGTGCTGTATT